ACCACCAGAACCCTAGGTCCTTCCCAGGGACCCAATGAATGTAGAAGGGGACCGGACCCCCCTCCCACAACCAGGCACACTTCCAGCACCAAGCAGCACTCCAAAAACATCACCTCCATGTGGGTGACTCACTACAGCCACCACAATAACCATGGCTGCTGTGAAAGTGGCTAGATGCCACAACCACCATGCAGATGGTCCACCAGCCACTGAAGTGCATTGACACAAGGAGAGTCACCAGCAGAGATAAAGAAGAGGATGTCTCTCTACACAAAGCCCATTTCAGAGTGACAGAAGAAGCATCTGCTCTATGATAATATTTGGGGACCTGATCACACCTCTCAGCATTGGACAGATCATCTAGGCGACAAATTAACAGAGTAACCATTACTCTTTCAGAAGGAGAGAAGAAATCTAGGGTAATTAGAAGGGCGAGCGGGGATGGAAAGGGGTATGGGGAGAGATCGGACAAGGGGCATAAAGAATAATTACGATTTGTAACAATATATATGCTGGTAATATTGATTTGATCAACATATCTCAGTGTTGAATCCAAAAAATATGTATAATCAATTTTGATTCAATAAAAAAATTTTTTTAAAAAGAATTCAGAAATTATGTTTTTCCTCAAAGAACCTGTGCTTTAACCCATAATACTTATGCTCTATCCAATAGGATGTAACCACAGCCAGGTGGTTGTTTATTTCCGCACTGAGCACTTGCTGATATTCTCTATGCAATAGGCATGGAGCTAGGAACTAAGAAAAACACGGTCGTCCCTGTCCCCCTAAGAGGCTCCTTTGTGAAGAGACAGACACCTAAACATGAACCCTAACACAGGGTGGGAAGCACTGTGCTCATGCCACCAGCAGCCTGCATGTCTGGAGCCGGAGTGACCAATTCATCCTGGCCTGCCAGAGCTTCCCCCGTTTTAGCACTGACAGTCCCACGTCCCCAGAACCTGGAATGGTTGGTCACTCCATGAGGAGCAGAAGCACCTTCCTGGCTCTGGTAGTGTCAGAGGAGGGAATTTGTGGGTTGTGCATTTATACCTAATCTTGCTGTCTGGGCCTGATTTCCTCCCTGCTTGTAAACTTCAGGTAGTATGAAACCCAGGCCCAGCACAAACATACTTGCAAAGACCTCAGTGTTTATCTTCCATATGCCCCCAATTCACCTTTCAGGAGGTTTGGGGAAACGAAGGATTTTTAACCTTTTTTTCTTTTCCAATTTGTCTTAGCACCCTCTTCCCCCACTCAAGCTCCACCAACCCTCCAGCCACACCCAGCCCCGGGAGCACCCGTGGATGAAGCCCTGGGGACTGAGCACCTCCCCATTTGTATCTCAAAAGAAAACTAAAATGGTACAAATGTTTGTTACAGAGTTGAACCACTAATGGTGAAATCACAAGCAAACGGGGTGGGGGGTATTTCGGGAAGAAAGAGGCTCTCCAGCGACTTGGATGGTATTTCCAAAGTCCCCTGTACGTGCGGGATTGAGGCTCTGCTCATTCCTCCTCATTCTAGCTGATGTCTCCTGATTTCTCAAACTAAACAAGAAGTCCTGCCTCCCTCACAAAGACAAGCAACGTGAGGCAAGTGGCCCTGTCCTGAGAAAGGTGTGCTGACCTAGAAAATGCACAAGATCACAAAGTTCTCCTGTTACCTCCGGATTGCCTCTGCCATGAGCCACGGAGGCACCAGCATGCCCAGCTCCCAAGAAGAACCACAACAGTCGCAGCACAATGCAATGGGAGGTGGGGCAAGTAGCAAAAGGCAGTTTTCAGGAACGTGGCTGTGGGGCTTGCTGCACCGGTCAGAGAGGGGAGGGTGGGGGAGCTGGGCAGGTGTTACCACAGCAGCCCCACAAGTGTGTCCTGGGGTCCAAGAGCTGACCATCTCTAGGCCAGACTTCTCTCTGCAGGGGACAGAGATTAGAGACCTGACTAAGGAAGTCTTTCTAGACAGTCCCACATTTTCCAAGTTCTTTCCACACCTCAGTACAGAGCCCCAGCACCCCCATAGATGTGCACCCAAAGCTTTGTTTTTCCTATCAGGCAACAAATCCAGCTGAGAGCTCGTTCCTGCTTCCCTTGCTCTCCTCCTGAGGCCTGAGAAGGATGTAGTAGAAAATGTACACATGTACATCTCTGCTGTTTGCAAAAGCTCCATCCACAAGGCAAGAGTCTTTAAAATAATTTGTCCTGGGAGATAAAAAGAGATGCCAGCTTCTAGAATATTGAAGTTAGCAAGAAGTGGTCTTGGGTTGTCTCGGTAATGCTGTAATTGTGTATGAAAGGTTTTTATATCAATGGCACCTGTGTCATTGTTTCCAGGTGCTTCTATTGGTCCCACCCCCGTCATTCACTATGAACTCACCATTGAGGACAGAAACTTCTGCCTCCTTGGTTACCTCTCACAATTCTCAGTCCACGACACTCTCTGGACACAGCCGGGGCTACCCCCTCTTGGCCCCTGACATGCACCTCCCAGAGCCAGAAAAAAATACTTCGAAATGCACACCCAACAGACATCCATGCCAGACTGTGCTCCCACGGTGCCTAGCACACAATAGGTGCTCAATAAATGCTTGCAGAGTACAGGGCAATGTCAAAACAGAAACACAGTTTGCTCAAGCTTGTTTGTAAACCCCAGAGCACAATGCCCAGGTGGTTTGTCTGTCTTCCTCTGGCTACTTTTATAGTGAAGGCTCATCTTTTAGGTCACATCTAAATCTAAGGAGAGACAGTAAAGCATAATGGTTAGGGGTGTGGGCTCTGGGTGTGATCGCCTGGGTTTGGGTCCTGGCTCTTCCACATTTTACTGTGTAATGTTGGACAAGTCACTTATCCTCTCTGGGCCTCAGTTTATCCACCTATAAAACAGG